TTGGCTCAACATCATTGTAGGCGGATAGTAGCAATGAATGTAACTTGAGTCTGTACATATACTATACCGAGGTGGACGGCGCGACCATTACCTACGTCCTAGAGCATAACCATCCGCTGAGAACAATCGATGTGCCCGAACAGCCAATCGATTTCGGTCAACACCATCTCCAAATATTTCTAGCCAATTTCACTGTTGGTTTCGTTGGCAGCGTATCCGATAGTTGGTGGGACGCGCCGGTAACTGGGGTCATCTGGTATTTGACGGAACTAATGAACCGAACAATCTCGGCTACGGAATTGGTTACAGCAATGAACATTTATGGCTACGCTCTCCCTACTAGATTTTTTTCGATTAAGAAGTCTAGTTCAGATGCCCTCTTTTTGAGCAAGCGATAGATATGGAATTCGGACTTCTAGAGAATACAAATCTTCTGGCCGATCCATCTCTGCCCTCCCCTGTTAGCGAAGAGAAACCGACAACCCCCACTCGGAATTACTCTGCTGGTTCAAGACGACTTTTTCAAATAGGGTGTTTACCTTATGTTTACCTCACGATTATTCTTATCTTACTTTTGGGGCTTTATCATCTCATCTTTACAAGTCTTTATTCTTCAGGTGGCTATGTAGAGCCGAACACTTACCCAAACGTCCCGTCAGATGGGTGCGGCTCGTCGATTGAGGAGGCGACATCCTTAGGCTGTAAATTCGACTTGTTTACAAGGTAAGTCATGCAAGGCCAGTTCCGTAGAAGTAGACTGAAGCATGGCAGCACCTGGATTCCATCCGCCTGCTATGATCACACTATTGCCAAGTATCCTGGCAGTAACGACGATGCTCTTTACTCGGAGTCTAGAGGCATGGCACTCTATCCGGCTTTCTGGGATGAAGAGCTCACGCAACCTGCAACACATCATGACGTCATGTCGGCCGCGTTCGACAACGTACTGAGTGGTGATAACATTACGTTTTGGAGAAACTCGACATATCATGTTATTCATTGCCTGTACGTATGGGGTTTGGGTACTAATGCACTTCATCGATACCTAGAAGGTGACCAAAGTGTGTATGTCTTGTCCGATGGATCTAGCCCTCAGCATACTTTGCATTGCAGCAATTATATTTTCGATTATATACATACGAGCCCCCCAAAGAATATTAGGATCATACCCCGTTTTGATTACTGTGTTGGAAGAGATGAGAAGCAGGAAGAAACGGTTGAATAAGAAAAATACTGGCGTTTATAGATTGACGGTCCTGTACTCGAGAAGAAAAATAGACAGGTTTATTAAAGTCCCTTGGTGCTCCGATCCACACCCGGATTCTACAGCTTCCGCTGCCATTTATCTGACACCTCCACCTCCACCTCATCATTAAGTTCTATGGGGACGCCAAGATATATGGCTTCTTTCGGTTACCTCCTATAGTTATTGTTAATAGAACACAAGGTTACTAGAAACTGTCTTGTTAGTTTCCATAGTAATGCTGATTTTCGGAAACGTGTTTGGAAAAGACGATGCATCAATGCTAACCCAAGTGTTGGCTGGATGGTAACCAGTGCGGTTGGATAGCGCTCAAGCGAAGGCGAAGAGTTGCACTGCGGGCATGTATGTAGATGTTAATGCGCCAAAGAAAACAAATGAACTGCAAGGAAGAGAAGAACTAGATGGCATTCCCTTTTTTCTTGAGAATCTGCATAGACTTCTAGAATGACTTAACGGGTATCAGACTAGTAGACAGAGGTATTGCGGTGTGATTTTAGAGGTTGCCTTTTCTTTGCCTTACGGATGATTTAGTTAGATGTGCAAGATGTAAGCCAGCTGCTTATGAGTTCGTCAGATTTACCGAGTTACCTATCATCAGTACCGGGGCTCTTGCATGCTTTGAGATCCTGCTGAGGTAGTTTGAGCCGGCATGTGATAAATTGGAATGATGTTTTCTTTTCATAAGCCTATGTTACACGGGGTTCGGCTATGCTTCTCTAGTACTCGATCCAGGTCAGGGCGAGTCAGCAGGCTAGCCGCGAGCCGTGCGATTGCCGAGTAATCTGAGCGGAAAAGAGTACTCGCCCCACGGAGCCTAGTTGTGCTGAACTAGGCTCCGTGGGGCGAGTAATGGATGTTTAACCAATAGTAAAGACAATCAATTCTATACTGGATAGAGTAACAAAACAACAATCTTGTTAAGTAGAAAGCACAATTTGATGAATTTATCACAACGAGTGTGACAATAAAACCCGCCCATCCTTGATGTCCATTGTTCTCAGTCCTGCCATCACTGACGACACGGTCTTGGCGTCATGACAATCACATGACCCAAGCCCCGCGGTGATCACTTTACCTGCTGACATCCCTGCACGAGTTCGCAACCACTCGTGGTCAGCGTCAAGGGTGAGGATCCTCTTGTCTCTTAATACGTGTAACAACCTAGCTAATAGTTATACATGTACTAGAGCGAACACATGGGTTTATTAACTGAAAGATTGCATCGGCCAAGGGATTCTCTACATTGTTTTGCTGAAACTAATGTGATGCAGCTACCTCAAAGTCACAGAGAATAGTGTAACACACAAACTAATGCAAAGGCTCGGACAGAAGCCAGGACTTAGACAGAGCTGGCTTCGCCCTCCTTGTCGTCGCCCTCAGGATAGCTGACCAAGTACTTGCGCTTGGTGAGGCCTGGCTCGCCCTCCTTGTCGTCGCCCTCAGGATAGCTGACCAAGTACTTGCGCTTGG